TTCAAATTAAAATCTAAAATAAAAATAGTAATAATACATTATTAGCAATTTTATTATATATACACATAAATATTAGTAATCTACTATTAACAAAAGCAAAGGAATTAAAAAAATTGAAGTTACATATAAATTGAAGTTACATATTCTTTTCGCTTGTATATTTCTAATTTTAAATGATTTTTAAGATATTTAAATTTAATTAAAAATGATAAATCTTATCACGGTTTTGGCTTTTGTTAGTAGCTCTGCAAGACTTTTGATGTTCACATATAATTACTTTAATCTGATGACATACAAGTATATGTTATTGTTAATAATCTTTATATATGCATATATATTATCATATACATGTATATATCAATTGATCTTTTCTTAATTAATTTGAGTAATTAAAGTAACAGATTGCACATCTGATGATTTATGCTTCGAATAAATAACTTATCTTGAAATCAAGCATACGGCCCAAATTACATTTGTCTTCGAAATTTACGGAGCATTTCAACTGAAAAAAAAAGGAAGAAAAAACATAAATTGCGTATCACGAAAAGAGGTTAATGATCTTACCGCAATATAATAACGGGAATGTTCGGAGACAGTGCTTATAATATTAAATTAATGTGCACCAGCTCGTTATATTGAATTACACTCGAAAAAAAATTTCTCAATTATTGATAATTGCACCGTCATACTGGGCTTAGGACCTTCGGCAATGCGCGACACCATGTCGATAAGATCAGAGTTGGTGTGCGATCGCATCGGTTACTTTTTCGTCGAAGTTATTCATACGTAATTGCCTGTACCCACGCAGGTGCCTGTTCCGCATCATTCGATTTCCATCGATGTTTGTCCCGCAAGATGTAAAACCTCCTGGCGTTACATGCAAGCTGCTTTCTTCTCTTAAATGTTTAACGTGGGATCCACGTGATACTAATTGTTGCTAATTACTGTTAATTTTAACATCCCTGTCGACTTTGTTCTTAAATTGGAAAGTAATTGGAATTATGACACGATTAAGGACTTTCTACATAAATGTTGAATTGAATGACATTGGCTTACGAATTTATGATATTTTTTTGTTGCAATGTATATATATTATATATATATATA